GCCCAAAGCCCACTGACATACACCCTACACCCTGCTGTCTACAGATGAACAATGTGCATAGGTCAGGGTAAGAGCCTGGAGGCCCTAGGACTCCAGCAGGGGAAATGGGCCTCTGGCAGGCTAATTACTGGGAGCTGATTCTATTAAGCAGATAGCTTGCTCTAGGCAAAGCAATTACATCTAATCATCCCCTTACAGCAGTCCAAAGGGACAGCCGTTTGAGCCAGACACATGCGTGAGTCGGAGCATCAAAGCAGCCCAAGGTCCAGACCTGGGCAGGCTGCTCAGAAAGTGGTCCCCTGGCTTCTTCCCAGGCTGCCAGATCTCAGGCCACAAAGGGGCTGCAGCACCATGGAAATAGCACTTGAGGGGTACTTAAAGTCCTGGAATGAAACTTGGCTCTGCCACCAAGGAGCTTAATTTCACTGGGGAGAGCACTTCTCTCATCTGAGCCTCAATTTCCCTATCTGTCAAATGAAGAGGATGGATCAGAGAGAATCCATTCCAGGCTTGAAACTCTAGTCCCTCTAGCCCAGCTGGTTTGGATTCTAGTCCAAGTTAAGGTGAGCTGACCAGCTTCAGAAAAACCTGTTTCAAATTCCCAAACCTGGAAATACTTACTAAGGGATCTAACTACTCACACTTTGTTTTCAAAAATAACTGAAGTAGTATATATTTTAAAGATATGAATCCCTTATTGGTATTCCTTTTTTTTTTCCCTCTAGAAATTTTATAAAATGTGTGTGTGCCCAGAAAAAAGGCCATAATTTTTTAAAACATAATTTAGTGACTTCTGAGTTCCAGATTCATCGAGGAAGTTGGGTCATCTCAGAATGTTGACAAACGGGAAAGGAAGGGGTCCCTGGAAATGAGGGGCCATGAACAAGATGAAAACAGATGAGGTGCAGGCCATGGCAGGTCCTTTCTATCCACACTGGTTCACATGGCGTATTCCTTTTCCAGAGGAAGAACTCCCTGAAAGATTTTTGGATGCTGTCAGAATGCTGAGGAGGGATTTTAAACATCAGTCCCTTCCAACACTGAAGCTCTAGGACTCTGGGCTGGTACCAAGCAACCAGTGCAACCCAAAATCACTAGACAAGCAGCCCAGTGGAAGGGACCAGAAGGCAAGAGACTTCTACAGTGCCCAGCTCTGAGACCTTGGGCAAGCCATGGCCCTTCTCTGAGCCTCAGGTTCCTCCTCTACAACATGGGAAAACGGGGAGAGCAGTCTCTACGTATCCTACCTCAAGAGTGGTTGGGAGACTCCAAGTGAGGTGATGAATGTGAAACTAACAGACTATTTTACTCAAAGGCAAGAACGTTATTAACATCTGGGGCCCAGGTCCCTCTCTCCCACCCAGCCCATCTCTCTGTTGTGATTTCAGGGCTGTGACTTTGAGAGCAGGGTGGCCTTGCTGGAGCAGATCATGGGGCAACCAAACTTTCGGCTTTTCCTGGCCTTGGTGGTCTCAGATGACTGGTGCCCATGTAATTAGACCAGAGCTTTGATCTTTCCTCAAAGCGGAGCCCTGGCGCTGATTGGCAACCAGTGGCCTTGCTAGGTCACGCACAGCCTTTGAGCATTTACAGGGGGGTGAGGTGGGGGAAAAAGCAACCTTGATTCAGAGACTGGGCTCGAGGAGAGCTGATTCTCCTGGATCAGGCTCAGTGGAGAAGAGAAGGAGGGAGGCAGGACATGAAGGCTGGAGTACGGAAGCAGGCTGGATTGCCCTGCTCCTCCACACCCGATACTAACCATTTGCTGAGAGGGAAGCTGTAAAGAAGCTACTTTATTCCCCATCTCATTCCATGAGTGATGAGAGAGAAGGCTGGACTAGGAGGTTGTTGGAAAGCCTTGATTGTCAGCCCAAAAAACCTGCACTGCTACTTGGAGGCAGTGGGGGGACATGAAGGGTGCTTGGGAAGGGGTATTGCATGATGAGATCGTGGCCTTGCTGGCTGTGCGCGGCCCTCAGAGCCAAGTCCACATTCCTCAGTGTGGCTTCCGTGTGCTGCACGATCTGCCCAGCCCACCCCTCTGGCCTTGTCCCCTTGTCCCCCATAGCTCCCCTTAGGGCTCTTTGCACCTGCCATTCTGTATTCTTTGCAGTTCCTCCAAATGCACCAGGCTCTTTCTTGCCTTATGCCAGAAGTATACCTGGTACATATATGAATGCACCTAGTGCTCCCAGCAACCCTAGGGATGGCATGGTTCCCAGTTTACAGATGAGAAAACTGAGGCTCACAGCGAGAAAACTTTCCTAAGCTCTTACAGTTGAATAGATGACAGATTCAAGATTCAAACTCAGATCAGTCTGCTGTGCTTTTCCTTCTCTGCCACTGTCCCTCACTGGAAGATGATTGAAGGCAGAGCTAGGCAACAATGGGTGAGTAAAACAGAAGGTGCTATTAACACTGGGCATAGCACATTGTTAGAACCTAGAAAAATATTGGTTGCAAAAATGAATGAATATCTCAGAGAAGAAAGTTGTAGGAAGGGCTAGGATCCAGCACCTGCATTCACCCCAGGAGAGACAGATGCTTGACCTAGAGTAGGGAGCAGGGCAGAGCTGTGGGTATGGCCGAGTGACTCCAGCTTGCAAAGGAGCTAGGAAAGAGAACTGCTGGTGAACAAGCTGGTGATCCATCCCGGGTGGAGGTGAGGGACGGGCAGAACTGTCCACAGCCCAGCCCTTGCACAGTGTCCAGGCACCCAGCCCAGACAGGGACTAGAAGGATTTTCACATCTGTGCCCAGATTAAAGAATGCCTTTGAGGCTTTGAGCTGGGTGCCTGGGAGAAAAGTGGTATCTCCGGGATACTCAACGATTGGAAAGGGGGACCATCCAACCACATGGATGAGTGTTGGTCATGGCACTGGGTCGCCGTGGGGAGGCACAAGGGGTACCTGGGCTATAAGCCCACATATCTCAGATGACCCAGAGATGGTGCCATCCAGTGATCCCTGGAAACCTCAGCATAATTGGAAAGGGGGACCATCCAACCACATGGATGAGTGTTGGTCATGGCACTGGGTCGCCGTGAGGAGGCACAAGGGGTACCTGGGCTATAAGCCCACATATCTCAGATGACCCAGAGATGGTGCCATCCAGTGATCCCTGGAAACCTCAGCATATCAGGGAGATGGAGATCAGCTGGGAGGCCCGCTCAGGCGGAAGGGCACAGTGCCGTCAGGGAGATGGAAAAAGTGATGTCGTTAAGGAACAATGTGGGCTAAAGGAATGAGCTGTAACTTGCTGGATCCCCAAGGACAAGCGGGAAAACGGCTGCCAGAGGCCCAGGGGTGTCTGATGATGGCCTGACACTGCCCTGGGGGAGGGACCATGGCCCAGCCCAGAGGCTAGAATGGAATCACCCCACGGGCTCCGTGGTCCTTTTCTGTCCCCTAATACCATGCCAAGCAAACCTTCTGGTCTATTAATAAATGCTTGATGAGTTGAGTCCCGACAGGCCTCCTGGCTGGAGAACTCTGCTCTGCTTCTCCAGAGTGGATCCAAGGAGGCGGCGTGAGGCCAAGGAAGGAGCACCAGTCCTGCCCGCCCCTGCCCAGCCTGTAACCCAGTTGGGAGGATTAGGTGAGATAAGGGAAGCAGCAGTCTTTGAGTAAGGACTGGCACATTGCAGCCCTCTGTTCCCTCTTTCTTTCACAAAGGCTGGGAAAACCAGCTCCACACCATAGCCAGACAGACAGGCAGGAATCTGAGGCTTAGGAATCTGGCCAGGGGAAAAGATGCCTCTTGTGTTTGTGGCCTTTAGCTCTTGGGCTGGACCAACCCTTTCCCCAAGAGTGAGGAGAGAGACAGAAAGGGAAAACCCAGGCCTCTGTACAGAGAGGGCAACTGAGGCATGGAGCTGGCCTGAGCCAAGGCCAGGTTCCAGGCAACCCTGTCCCCAGGTCCAGCAAGAGGGGCCTAGAGCTGCAGGGACAGGCAGCAGGCCTAGAAACGCTGTTCTGTTTTCTTAAGCTCCCAGCTGGGACTGAGAACACCAAATCCTCTTTGAATAAAACAGAAAAGAGATTTTAAAAAATCAAGACATTAACCTTTTGAAACTGCCCCCCCACACACACACCAATATGGTGAATAAAACAGAAAAGAGATTTTAAAAAATCAAGACATTAACCTTTTGAAACTGCCCCCCCCCACACACACACACCAATATGAAGATTAACTTCTTTCCTAAGCATTATTTTTTTTCATTTCTATAAACATCTTAATTCATGCCGACATCACGGCCAACCTGGATTACAGGAGGATGGAGAGATGGATGGCCTCGTCCCAGCCATACCTGCACTCATGCACACACACGTGCACATGTGCATGCACACAGTGCTTGTGCACACACACCCGGGGCAGCAGAAAGAGCAGTGGAGGAGCCGTCGAAGAACTGGGCTTTATTTCCAGTTCTGCCACTGAACTCCAGACATCAGTCTCCTCATCTGTAAAGGGGTTGGTTGGACCAGCTGATTTCTAAGATTCCTTCCCAGCCCACTCTCTGGAGCGGCTCTGGCTTATTTCCACCCCCCATCTCCTCCCCTCCAGCTTCCCAGAGCCTCTCTGACAGCCTTCAGGCTGGGGAGCAAACAATTGGGGGAAGTGGGAAGTGAGGGGAAGCATGGGATCTGGCTCTGCGTGGGGTCAGGGCTTCTTTTATGATTAACTTCAGCTCTTGTAAGTCACATGTAAAGCACCCAGCATGCTGCCTGGGCACACTGGAGGTGCTTCCCAAAGTCCATTCTCTTTCCTTCTGCACCCCTCTTTTTAGCTCAGTTGGACGCAGTTCCCACCTGAGGTCAGGTTCCCTTCATGGGCCTCGGCCACTGAAGGAGCCACATCCTATTTCCCAGTTTCAGATTCCCCTCAGCCTTAGGTCACATGGCTCCAATGTGAACCCTCGAATGGTTCCCACTGCTTTCAGGATGAGGACCTGGATTCTTAACATTGACCGCAAGGCCCTTCTGGATCCCCTCCCGCTTACCTCTCCAGCCTGGCTTCAGGTCCACCTGCCCCACCTGGGGGCACCCCTGGCTTTTGGAGCCTTTTTTCAGGTCCCCAAACCCTCCATACTCCATCTGGTCTCTGTCCCCACATGAGCCCTATCTCACCTGGCTCACCCCTCTCCCCATGTTGCTCATTCCTGCTGCTCTGCTGGTCCCACCCTCAAGAAATCCTCCATGATCCCCAGAGAGTGGATTCCCTTCATCTTATGTTCCTTGGGCTCCCAGTCTCCTCCCCTGATGAGGAAACACCATCTAACAGAAGGATCAGCTGCATCTTAAGCACTGATGTCTGTCTCCCCTTGAGTACCCAGTCCAAAGTGTCCAGAACCACTGCTGCCGCCACAGCCTCCAGGAACAGATCGGAGTTGCCACTGCCCTCACTGCTGTGGAGTACATTCTGCGTAGTCCATGGAAAATACATCTAGTTGGTGAAGTGAGGTCCTGTGCCTGTGCCCTAGCTGCAAGAGAGGCAGGGCAATGTGGACAGGCCACTTTCTGATTCGGTACTGGAAGGCAGCCTCTGCCCCAACACACAGGGGAGACCCTTAAACCTGGGGGCAGGGAGCAGATGCTGGGTGTCTCACAAGAATGACAAATGTTCTTTACACTGTGACCCCTAGACTCCTCCCTGGGGGAATTTGCAATGCTCTAGGACAGGGTTTCTCATTCAGCACTTTGACATTTTGGTCTGGATACTTCTTTGTTGTATGGTGTCCTGTGCATTGGAGGATGTTTAGCAGTATCCAGGCCTCTACCCACTAGATACCAGTAGCACCCTCCCAGTCATTTAGACATTTAGGTAATATCTAAATACATTGCCAAATGTCCACTAGGGGACAAATTTACCCCCAGTTGAGAACCACCATCTAGGAGATGGGCAGGAAATGTGTAATACATTTGAGGAACCAGGATTGATTTAACCAGGTTTCCCAAACTTATTTGACCATGGAAAAACTTTTTTCTGTAGCACACTTGAGTTTATTTCACAGAACTTGGGAAGCACTGGGCTAGTAACTGAGGACCTGGCTCTAGGGGTTTCACGGGAGTAGGAAGTTGCCCAGGCCAAATGGCAGTCCAGGTCTGCCTGTTGTCACCTTCCCCACCTGCCCACCTCCCTGAACAGGCTGGAGTCTCCCTGATGTCCCGTTTTGTGAAGGCCTAAGCTCTGGCCCCAGCTGGTTATGACCCATTGCCAGGAGCCAAGGGAGGAGACTGCAGAATGCCCTTCAGCTTGTAGGGTCAGTCTTTTCCCCTTGGCTGTGAACCTGTTCTGCAGGCACAGGTCTTGCCCTACCACCAGGAACACTGCCTTTGGAATGAGCCTCCTGCTGTGGCTGCCCACTGTGGCACCCTGCATGGCTTGACAACAATCCCACTAGACTCAGCTCCAGCCCCGCTGGTCTCCAGTGTACAGACCCAGGCTTCCAGTCTGTACTCCACACGTTTACCAGGTCAAGGCCCTTACTGCTGTCCAAAGAATGCTCTGGACACAGGATGGAGCATGTCTGCCCCAACCCAGGAAACAGCCCTGCCACTGCATTGCAGGATGAAAGGTCACAGTCCCCTGAAGGTCACTGGCCTTGCCTGTGGGAAAGAGCTGTTGGAGTTGTTACTAGTAGGCCAGAATAACATGAACATTGGAGAAACATGTGTCACTGGCACATGCAGCCGTCCATTCTGGAGACTTCTCCTGTGACCTGGCAGTGTCCTCACATGATGGCTCAGCTCCCACTTGCAGCTTCATCTTTGGAACTCCCTCATGTGGCTTATGGTGCCTTCCAATGACCTTAGCTCTTACTCTCTCTATTTCAGTGGAAATAGAATAGTGTGAGGGTTAGACAAACCTGTGTTTGACCTATCTTGGACATGTCATCCTTCTCTCTGAACTTCAATTTCATTGTCTGGGTAGATTTTTTTAAAGCGCTTTTTTTCTCTTACCATCTAGAGTTCCATATTTAGGTGCTGACAGGTGGCTCCTGAGTGGTAGAAGATGGGGCTCCTTGAAGTCTCCCTGAGAGTTTAAGACCCCCATGCTCTGGACTCCAGGATTCATCTTCACGGGGCAGGGGAGACAACTGGAGTGAAAAAAAAAAAAAAGAGGCTTGAAAATGCCTTGGATCCCAACCAGCCTGAGGATGCGCCAGTGGAAAATTCCTGCTGTGTGTCAGAGGCCCACCTGGCCCGGGTGACAGCCAGCCAGACACGCAGGCCCCACAGCATGTTTAGACAGCACTTTCCTGCCCTGGCCAGAGTTCACCCGGCCCTAACCAAGGCTCCTCCTGTAAAAGAGGGTGGGGTGGGGGGTCCTCGACTGGGCTCAGGAAATCGTCCTGTGTCTCAGTAGCCAGAGCAGGATCTAGGGAGCGGTAGAGTGAGCTTTGATAGAAGGAACAGGCAGTGGGAGTTGGCCCTGAATAGACTCTGTGACCCAGGAGTAGCCGCACCCCTCTCTGTGCCTCAGGCTCCTCATCTGTGTATTGCACGGGGAGGACAAGGACATCTACAGAGTCCTCAGTGGGCCTAATGTTCTACTGGTGCAGATGTATATTCTCTAGGGGATTCCACATCTGCCTTGGGAGAGGTCACAGCCCCTTGCATGGGCAGAACCTAAGGGCAACTCTTGGAAGCTGCTGTCAGAGCCTTCTGAGGCTCACTGTGGGGCGGGGGGGGGATGGTGGACCTGGGAAGAGTAAAAGTGAGCCCTGAGCCACAGGGTGTAGTATTTGCTCAACATCATTGGGGAAGTCTCTGAATCTAGAAATGCTAGAGGGGCCAGGTTTATGCTCTGATATGGGCTGAGCAGGTCACTGGGCCTTACCATGGCCAGGGTGGAGTGGCCCTAAGACTGTGCATAGATCCCATACCCACAACCTCAGCCATCCGTTGGGGAAGTCTCTGAATCTAGAAATGCTAGAGGGGCCAGGTTTATGCTCTGATATGGGCTGGGCAGGTCACTGGGCCTTACCATGGCCAGGGTGGAGTGGCCCTAAGACTGTGCATAGATCCCATACCCACAACCTCAGCCATCCAGGGGGTCCATACCATGCTGGGGCAGCCTGGCTTGGGGCATTACAAGCCCCTAAACACATTGGCCAAAGCAGGTCTGCAATTCCTGTCTCTTGGGAGTCCGATTGGCCTGAGACCTTGGCAAGGCCTGGTCTGGGATAAGGGCCAATTCACCAGAGTGATGCCATCTGGGAGATCCACTGGTCATGCTACCTGGCCTACTAGACACCTCCCCACCCCACCCCACCCCCACCCCCACNGTCAGTGGATGTGACGCAGATAAAGGCTGCAGTGTGCTTGCCTTGCCAAGGTCACCCCACCCCCACCCCACCCCCGCTAATCACAGAGAGAATCTCTGTGCCTCTTACCTCCCCACTTAATGCCAAGAAGACATGACAAATCTCCCAGGGCCATCCCTGCTTCTGAACCCTGCCCACCCAGGGCCCAGTACCCCACATCCCCAGCCCATCTCTGTGCAGACCACTCTTCAGGCATGTACGTAAGGGAAAGTTCTGGATGACGTCACACAAAAGCCAGGGGAAAGACACAACTCTGCCCACATGCCTCAGTCTGGCTGCTTGCTTGCACAGCCCCTTGGAGAGGGGCTTCCAGGACTCATCCCAGCCTCCCCTTCCTTCCATCCTCTGTCGAAGGCCACAGCTCCCTCTCTGAGTTCTCCCAGTCACTCAGAAAGAATGGTCTTTTTCTCAGCTGCTATGCCTGCCCCTCTCGGCTCCAGGTCAAACCTGCCCTCCGTAAGGCCCCAGCTGCCCGGGCTCTGCCCAGTCACTTAGCTCCAGGTAAGCTCTCCCTCCTGAGGTCAACCCAGGACCCTTCCTCCACTCAGGACATCCCTACATCCCTTCTTCTCTTTCTTGCTTTCTTCAAGTTTCCGCCCATGTCTTCCCCCTTCTACATCCCTACAGGCTCCCCTGGGGCTCTGGTCACCCAGAAATCTCTTTCTCACCTTTTCTGAGGACCAGAGTCATCACAATTGTATCTTTGGAATCCCAGGAGGCTCCAGGATGGGGATGATGGGAGTGGGTGCACACGCGTGTGAATGTGTGCGCATGTGCGTATACATGTGTGTGAACTCATGTGATTTCGGGATAGTCTTTGCTCCCAAAGAGAGCACAATGTCTCCCTCTTACAAAGGTCCTCAAAGACTTTCTGTCTCCCTCTGTCAAGGTCAGCCAGGCTGGGGGAGTGTAGGCTCTGAGAGGGCAGCTGAGCTCCTCTGGGTCAGGTCACAGAGCAGGGTGTGTTTTCCAGGAGCCCTGGGCCCTCCTGAAGACTCTTCCCAGCCTGTGCTGCTTGAGTATCAAGAGAGGGAGGTTTGAGACTCAAATGGCCTTTAGGGTGGTGGTGGAAGGCAGCTTCACCCCGTGGACAGGCCTGAGTTCAGTAAGATGAAACAGTCATCAGGTGATTGACTTTCTTTTCCAGAGCATTCCTTTGGTGTCACAGCTTAGGATGCATACAAAAGCTCTGGGAAGGGTTCTGGTTTCTGCTGGGCTTGAGCTCAGGGGGACAGCAGGGGTTGGGGGGAGGCTTATTCTGGAATGTTAGGAGTTAGGAGGCTGAGGGAGCAGGGGCCCTGGTAGACTGAAGGCCCCAGGGTGCTTCTACCTGCCTTTGGCTGCAGACCCCTTGGCAAAAGGAGGTGGGATGAGCGCCCTATGGCCTGCTGGAAGCTGCGTCCTCCAAGCAGACAGGCTGCCTGGGTCAGCAGTTCCTCCCGGTTGTCCACTGTGGTGTGGTTGCAGAGAGACTGAGATTTTCTGTTGCAAAGCATAGCTTTGCTCATTGGTGCCACAGAGAAACCATGTGTGCTGGGCACTCTCTCCCACTTCCCAGATGAGGAGACCGAGGCCTTCGGTTAGAAGCTAAGTAGTACGTCCAAGGGGTCGTGCCAGAAAGTGGTGGAAACAGGCTTCAGACCCACGTCTTCTGACTTGGAGTCCAGTCTCTGTCCCTGAGAACAGGCAGCACCCCTCCTCTCAGCAGAGAGCCCAGGAAGGGCCACTGAGCTTTTAGGCAGCCAGGTGTGGGTTTTGGCCGCCCCT